CATAGCATTTTGGGTGTGGCACGCCCATGCACGACCCCCCTGCGCTTTCCCCGCTTTTGGCACAGGAGCCGAAAAAGGTTCGCCACCACTGCTCTAGCTCAATCCTGACTTAACTTGAAGCAGTAAATGTAAAAGCTTGACCTGTCAGCTGAACAAAATGAAAATGGCCTGCCATTACTTAGAAGCAAAGCAGAAGAAAAAGAGAAACTAAATAGGATGACAAAAACATTATGTGCCAGGGCAGTTTAGGCAGGGATTTGCATTAGAGTTCAAGAACAGCAAACAGGTGTTTAAACACACACAAACTGCTGCTCCCATGTCAAATTATAGATCATATCATGCCCGGCTGTAAACTGAGAGCATGTACAGTATCTGATTTTTAAAATATAAACGATGCTGAGCTTCTAGATGATCTAGATTTTGGTATTAGATGATCTAGATTTTGGTATTTCAGCATCTATCTTTCTAACATATATATCAATAAACAAGTCCCAGCCACAAAAACCAACCCAGGACCCAGAACCACACAGGACACCATCACCAATCACCCTCACCAAACACCAATTCCATCAACCAATCAAGATGTGACAACACAGCCAACCAATCCGTTTAAAGCAACAAAGCCAACATTCCACACCCACCCACCTATATTTATAGAAAAACGGCAGCTCCAATTATGCTTTGCTCACACAAGCACGAAGCCAAAGGCACCAGCCTGAAGATGACAAGTGTGACTTCGTCGAAATGTCACCAAGATACTGTCAATCTTACATGGGAAAAGTCTCGAATACGCCAAGACCTGCATATATACTGTATATATATATACATACATATATAAAATTAATCTAGATGAAATGTTAATATACTATTGCTAGTTCATGTATGCTATATTATACAATAAACAAACAAACATACACAAATACACAAAGATATGAATATAGAAGATTTCAACATTTGCTCCCAAATGGCAAATATCCAGTGTAACCATTCCTTCCTGTTGCCTTGCTTTGTTTTGCCCTGGAATTTTATTGCCATCATAATCCGTGTGTGTGTGTCTGTCTGTCTGTCTGTCTGTCTGTCTGTCTTCACTTTAAAAAAAGAGTGGAAACCACTGAAAACAGTAGCTGTCTCAGCCTTAGGGACAACTACCGGAAGACACACAGCATGGACCACAGACCTTTCCAATCTCAGGCCTCATTTTAGGCCCTGTGTTGGGAAAGAAGAATGCCATTTCAAATTCACTGAGTGGTGATTGGCTCTTAGAACCATCAATCAAAGGACAGTAACACTGGGTTCCTCCTCCTCTTTTATATTCTTGAGGGAATCAGCAGGGAGAAATTTGGGAGCTGGAAGTGAAAGAATAGATGGGAGGAAATCTGGGAGTCTTAGCCCTAGGAAACCTACTAAGTATTATACTGGTAGTTCTCGACTTACGACCACAACTGAGCCCAAAATTTCTGTTGCTAAGCGAGAGAGTTGTTAAGTGAGTTTTGCTCTGTTTTACGACCTTTCTCACCACAGCTGATAAGTGAATCAGAGAAGTTGTGAAGTTAATAACACAGTTATTAAGTGAATCTGACTTCTGCATTGATTTTGCTTTACAAAAGATTGCCAAGGGGAATCACCTTGGGAAACAGCAACAGTCACAAGTATGAACCAGTTACCAAACATCTGAATTTTGATCACATGACCATGGATTGCTACAAAAGTTGTAAATTTGAGAAATGGTGATAAGTCGCTTTTTTCAGTGACATTGTAACTCTCAACAGTCGCTAAACGAACTGTTGTCAGTGAACCTAATTTTTTCCCCAATATTTTGCCTCAACTTTCCTTTGAAATTTCTCTAATCACTTCACAACTCTGAAGCCTATCCTTCAGGAATGGAGTCATAACGATCACTCCGTTTGTTCCTGTTTTTGGCATTATATCAAAGTTAAAGATTTTTACAAATTCAGAGAGGATACAAGGACACATTTAAAATATATGGAAATAACTGAGAATTTTCCCATTGGAGGAAAAAGAAAGTTGAATCTAATGAATGAAATAATAGACATTTTAGAAGTAAATTTGTAAACTGGGATTTGAAACAAAATAAGAATTTGTTCTGCTTCTGTGAAGCATGCAGTTTCATATTTCACTTTATCTGAAGTACACGTTGTGAAGCTTGTTACTTCAAACCAAGTATGTATTTTTTTTGTTTTTCTTCCTAGTTTATGATATTTGGAAATTTAAAATAGAATATATTTGCCACTCACAAGTCCATTTCTGAAGAAAGAAGAAATGTCTGCATTTATTAGGGCAGTGAATGCTTCAAAATTTATTTAGAAAACATTTAAGTAAAGCATCTCTCTCCTGGTCATTAAAAATGTGTAACTTTTTTCATTTTGAGCCTGAAGTCACATTATCAATAAAGATAGTCCTCAACATAAGACTGCCATAGAGCCCAGAATTACACTCATAACTTGTTGCAGTCATAAGTCGAGGCATTGTGTGACTGGACCTAAATTTTGAACATTTTTACAGTAGTTGTTAAGCAAATGCTGTAGGCATTAAACAAACACTGAAGTCATTAAGTGAATGCCAGGAGACGGTTCTGTCATAAATCATAAAGGTAAGTCAGTTGCCAAGCATCCAAAATGTGATTATGTGATCACAGAGGTAGGGATATGTGGCCACCATAACCCCTAAAATAAGTCAGAAGTAGCTCTAGAGCAGTTCCCCATAACTTCAAATAGGTTGTTGTTGTTGTTGTTATTGTTGTTGTTGTTAGTTGCGAAGTCATGTCCAACCCATCACGATCTCATGGACAAGGTTCCTCCAGGACTTCCTGTTCTCTACTACCCTCTGGAGTCCATTTAAGCTCACACCTTCTGCTTCGGTGACTCCATCCAGCCACTTCATTCTCTGCCGTCCTGTTCTTCTTTTGCCCTCAATCTTTCTCAGCATTAGGATCTTCTTCAGTGAGTCCTTCCTTCCCATTAGGTGGCCAAAGCATTTGAGTTTCATCTTCAGGATCTGGCCTTCTAAAGAGCAGTCAAGGTTGATCTCCTCTAGGACTGACTGGCTTGATCACCTTGCAGTCCAAGGGACTTGCAGGAGTCTTGTCCAGCACCATAGTTCAAAGGCCTCAATTCGTTGGTGCTCAGCCTTTCTTATGGTCCACCTTTCACAGCCATACATTGCAACACCACACTCTTGACTATACACACTTTTGCTGGCAGGTGGGTGGGCACATAGCCAGTCTTCTTGAAAATGTGGATGCTGCAATGATTAGGCAAGCGAGGCCCAAGAGGTGCCTGCTCTGCTTCCCCNCCCACCCATCTGGAACTTTCCAAAACCCAATATATTAAAGTAGTGGTTTTAAATTTTTTAATAACAATTACCTTGTAAATAATAATTGTAAATAAAATAAATTATTTTAATGTATTATTAGTATATTTTAATAGATGTATATATAATAAGAAAAAGTTCACCTGATTAATTCTTTGTTCATTAAAAAAATGCAGATACCCGATTATGACAATAAACGTAATTGTTTATCTGATAGTAGCAAATGTTTCTGTCTTCTTTAATGTACTTGCAAGTTTCCTTCCATATCACTAGGGGGCAGGCTGGGCCTGTACTCCTCTGAAAAAAATACTTTCCCATTAATGCTATCTCACCTCAATTTATGCCTGAAGATTGAAAGTCAGCACCTCATGACATACCAATTTAAGCTATCACACAGCGGAGACAGTTTAAATTCCTATTTAACGGTTCCGATTTTAAAGCTGTTCTTCTCCTAATAAAACTTTGGCCATGGGCTTGAGTTACTATGCTTGCTTGATGAGATGCTGAGACATGAATAGGGAGTGGGATGTGCTCAATTCTATTGGGATTTGAGGCTGCTATGGATATGCCCCTTTCCCTTCAATTGCCTGGAATTTGAGCATGGATTGTCAGAGAGACTGGACACATGTATAAGTATGTGCATATGTTGGGTTGGATTGGGTTGGGTTTGCTGGGGCAGTTGATCTTTGGACAAAAGAAGACACATCAATGACTTTGGTCCATTGGCAAATCCTATCTTGGTCCTGGGCATTTTGTTTTTAATGTAATAGGAAGTGATTTGATAAATTGGACATATTCCAGCCTCAAAACAGAACGTTTTGCATGGTGGCAAAGCTTTCCCTTGCTGGAAGTACTGTATGTGGACTTCTTTCCCTAATCATGGGAACACCCAGGTGGTTTCTAGGAGAGGGAAAGTAACCTGCATGAGCAATTTCTTCTAATAAAGACACAGTGTCCCACTTCAAACTCATTGTAAAATAGATTGAACACATGATGACCCATTTAATAACCAGTAAGACTTATGACCTTTATTCCAGGCTCAATTATGGTTGCAAGTCAAGGATTTCCCGTATAATCATTTGCTACATTTTGGCTTGGAAAAAAACAAATTTGTGAGAAAGAAAACCCTGCCAAAAAAGTCCTGTGACAACACTGGAATAATATACCAAATGTTATTACTCTTTTTTTAAAGCTATGAAAGATTCTCAGTATTATACTCTGGGCATCCAAATCTACAATAATGCATTTGCATCCAACTCTGTAATTCAGCCACTCCAATCAACTTTCTCTGGAGAGATGAGCGCAACTCCCAGGTTGGCAATTTCTTTCCATGCAAATAGTAATAGCAATAGCACTTAGACTTATATACTGCTTCACATTGCTTTACAGCCCTCTCTAAGCGGTTTACAGAGTCTGCCTATTGCCCCCAACAATCTGGGTCCTCATTTTACCCACCTCGGAAGGATNCAGTTGGTCTTTGGAAAAAAGAATCACTGTCAATGACTTTGGTCCATTGGCAAACCCCATCTCAGTCTGTCTTCTCTCCCTACTTCATGCTTGTCATTTTCTTCCCCAGCTTTCCTGTTTTTTCTGCTCTGTGGTTGGACGTAGGTGTGTCAAAAACACAATTCTGTTGCTCAGCAAATCTGGCTAAGGTAGGAGGAAGAGAGAAGCAAGCTTCCTGTAATAACCAGCTGCAGTTGAGCAAGACATGAAGAATGGGGGATGTGGTTTTGCTTAACACATAACCACGTCATTGGAGAAGGAAACAATGGAATGAGGCAGAAGGTTGGTGTGGGAGGGGGAGGAACCGCCAAGAGGGGCTTTGAGATGAAAGAGGCAGCACTAGGACTGGGAATCTATAGAGAGAAACCTGTGGGATTCTCTCAAAGAATACCTCCTTTCTGCATGATATCCTCTGTTCTCTGCCTCGGTACTATGCTCAAGGCTTTTGGTTGGAGCTGCTTGTCAAGAAACCTGCCTTTCTCCACACTAGGCCAGTTGATTGGTGCAAGAAGCTCCCTTTCCCCCATCCCACATCTAACACCAACACACATAATGGAAGAAAAGCATGCTGTAGGGGAAGGGGAGAAGGTAGCAGACAATCTCATTTTGAAGCGAAATGAAAGAAATAGGGTTTAATGCTGTAGAGCTATAGAGTTTTTTCAGTTTTGAATATCTGGCAGACTATTTTGTTTGTGTGAATAAAAATACAATAAAGGAGAAATGAAAAATAAAGTTCCTTCCTCTTTGGCCCACATTTGTCTTCCATGCCTGCAACTACATCTGTAGTCTTGGGATCAAATATACGGCTACATTTCAGAAATCAGGTTCCTTTGGAAAACTGGAAGGTGACTCAAGCCTCTTTCCCAGGGATTTTCTTATGCTTATCCCACACACTCTACCCCATTGCTGACCTTCTTGCTGAAGTAGAATAGGGCTATGGTGGCAACACAATTTAAACAGGCATACTGTTTTCCTGAATCAAAACCTGGAGAAATGCATATTATTATTGCGAGGAAGAACCCTAAGTCTTGTACATTTTTGTTGATCAACTGTATAGAGAAAGAATAAACATGAAATAAAATAAATGGAAAAGGAAGTTCAGAAATTGTAAAATTCATATTCTCCGTGCAGTCATTATCAGTTTACTAAGTAAACATATAGATTTCCATTTACTAACTTAGTAGTATTTTCCTGACCGTGTAGTAACAATGAGTACTATACCTCATTTAATTTGACATAGCTCACTTTATATTTCAGATTCAAGCAAAGCCTGACTCATAACTGAAGATTTCAGTCTGAATAAAAAAGGAAAATGTCTTGGTGTTTTGCATCTAAACTACAGACTAATATGGATTGGAAACTCATGGGTATACTAGTGCCAACTTTGACTATTAAGCTAGTAGGCAGTTCTCTGTTCTTTCTATATAGTATGTATTATATTGATTTTTTTTTATTATCAGTCTTCTAATTTTAGAAAATAATGGTTAATACTGCTTCCTTTGCACGTCATGTCATTCTTGTGATGTGTCCATTTTCAACCATAGCAGTTCTTTTGACCAATGGAGCACTGACCAAAATTCCTTAAGCAAAATATATTGCCATTGTTGTTGTTATTGTTATTCTCTCTCATACACACAGAGAGACAGAGAGACAGAGACAGAAACAGAAAGATCTTATTCAAACTTCAATGCTCTATTACAGGGGTGTCAAACTCGCTTTGTCATGCCATCATGTGACTTAGCACAACTTTTTTCCCATTCGCTAAACCGGGCATGAGCATGGCCAATGTATATCGCATCCAGCCTGCAGGCCGTGAGTTTGACACCCCTACTCTATTAGAACAAGTTACACATCATTTTTATCAGTGTTTTAACTAGCATGGGAAGTTTTTATGGATCATGAAAGGAAATTCTCAACTGCAAAGAGTCACCTTCTATATGAGGTGGATAATACAGCTGGGAGGAAATAGGTGGGCTTGAATTTAGTGACATTTTTTGTGAATGACCATGATAGCTTTTTAAATGCCTGCTTATATTAAGAGTCATTTGTATTCAGTTTCACAGATTTTCTCAGAAGTCCCCAAAACCACCACACCAGGAAAAACCAGTGAGTTTGAAGTGTGAATGCCACCAGTGAGTTCGCAATGTGAATTCTCCTCCCCCGTATGCACTGAAGCCATTTCTTCATATTCTTTAGGCTGCTCCTTAAGGTGGACTCTGTATGAAGGAAAGTGCTACCACTTTTCTACGCTGCTAAAAACATGGGATGAAAGCCAAAAAGAATGTGTCTTCTTAAATTCTCATCTTGCCATTATCAACAGCAAACCAGAACTGGTGAGTAGATAAAGTGGATAGTAAAACAAAAAAAATTAGTGAGAGACTTGGGACAAACATTTAAAACTCATTACACTTCCATAAAATAATGTGTAATTGCCCCTCTCCCCGGACAAGCTGTCTTGTTTTAGTGCCTGAAAAGGTCTGTTTCGTTTATCCATTGCCATGTATTTAGAGAGCCAGGAGTTCTACAAAGATGTCTGGCTGCCAACTGTCGTTAACTGCCAATTCTTCAATATGGTCTGGCTGCCACTTGTTATTGGTCATTTGGTTCACGCTACCAAGGGTGCTCCTCGACAAAATATCCACCACATTGTGTCCGAATGTCCATCAAGAGTTAATACTGGCCCAATGTCTGATTTTTTTTCAACATAGACCATAGTCTTTGCATGGCTGGGTGGACTGGACATTAACATTTGAACTACTATAAGTCTATGCATTTGCTTTATGCTAAATGAATGCCCAGGCAAACAATTTACCTTTAAATGGAAATTAGGGCATAGTTGCAGCACTCCTTAAGCCCTCCTTTTGCTCATGCCTGTTTGACTCTGGTTCAGTTTAAGAAAATCTAGCCAGACAGAGCTGCTTTGGCAACAGCTAGCAAAGTATTCAATTCAGGTCTGAAGCATTTTTAAAAAAATATTATTTCTTTCTCTGAAATATAGGGAGTCCTCAACCTATGACCATAAATTGAGCCCAAAGATCTGTTGCTAAGTGGAACATTTGTTGAGTTTTGCCCATTTTACGACTTTTCTTGCCACTGTTGTTAAGTGAATCACTGCACTTGTTAAGTTAGTAATATGGCTGTTAAGTGAATCTGGCTCCCGCATTGATTTTGCTTGTCAGAAGGTTGCCAAAGGTGATCACATGACTTCAGGATACTGCAACTGTCATAAATATGAGTCAGTTGCTAAGCATCTGAATTTGATCATGTGACCATGGAGATGCTGCAATGGTTTTAAGTGTGAAAAGCGGTGATAAATCACTTTCTTCAGTGATGTCGTAACATTAAAGCATCACTAAATTAACTGTTGTAAGCAAGGACTACCTGTACCTATTTTTTTTTCACTTTTTAAATTCCAACAGTACATTGTTTCATCATTTTTCCAGTCACATGAGATAAAATTACCTCAGGTGACCAGAAAAACAATGAAGTGATGCACCACTGAACCTATTTTAAAGAAGAAAGCCCTGTGAAAAGAAATTACTTCAGGAAAAGAAAAATAGTAATTTAAAAACACACATAGATATTTGGGATAGATTAAGAACCAGTAACATTCCAGATATTAAACACCTGTATAGCTACCCCAACTATTATGAAATTAGTTTTAAAAGCCGTTCTAGATATTAAATACAATGACAACTATTCCCTCAGGTGAGAGGGTATTTTTGCCTCTGAAAAATAACCACACAAATTGCAAGGTTTAGATCTAGAAAAAAGTAGCAACCAAAATATTTTTGAAGTGTTGGTGAGGTATTTTTTTTAATTACTATTTCCCACCCCCTCCTTGATTGCAGAAATGTAGTGGTATAACCAGTGTTAAAACATTCTAAAAATACTGTAGAACAGCACAAATCTGGAAGTCTCTTCTCCTCAGCTACTGTGAGGAAACACTGTCTGTGTGGGAGAGATCTTGAAATTAAAATGCTTTTACTTCTGTTTTAATTTTCTTTCCTTAAAGAATATGCATTTGATTGGCCCAATTCCAGAGAGCTTAGAATTGATACTATATTGAAACTGATAAGGAATGCCTTGTATTTATTTGAAATAGAAGCTTTTGTAGAGAGAGAGATAAACATGATACTGAAAAGGATACTGACAACCCAGTTCCAAAGGCTTCTCTGCCCTCCCCCACAGTTACATCACTGCATTTTGGACACTCAGCAACCAGCCCACATTTATGGCCATTTACAGCATCCCACAGTCATGTGGCTGTGATTTACAACATTTTTGGCAGAAACCAGCATTTTCTTCTAGTTTATGTCAAAAAATGTCCCACAGCCAGAGGTGGATTTGCTTAACAGCTACAGAGCTCACTTAGCAACTATTTTGTTTGCTTTACAATTGCCACATTCTCTTAATAACAACTGCAAAGAAGATGACAAAATCGAGTGAGATCATGTGATAATCCAAACACATATAATCCATCACAATTTACAATCATAATTGGGGGCCCAATTAATGTTGTCAGTCAAGGTCTATCTGTAAGGCATAAGGTATGCATGGTTTAGGTTGATGCAATTTATGCAGATAACGTAGATTTACACAAGGTCTGTCCTTTTCCTTTATTCTATAGATACTTTGCAGGTCCATAACAGAATTTGGTGTCATTGTATTTCATAACATTTTGTTCCTGTGTATCCTATCCAGGCATTCCTGAACAACAAAACCCAAAATGCAGATTACTTCATTGGCTTGAGACGGAGAAATTCCAATGAACAGTGGAAGTGGATTGACAATACAAAGTTTCAGCCTGGCATGTAAGTTTATTAGACTTCTAATCATTATTGTTTACTTAGAGTAGGAGTAGGCCACCTTTGGACAGCTGACTGCATCTGGCAGCAAATATGGATGTATTGACTGGCCTTCAAGAAAAACATTTAGAATTCCAAAACTCCTGACCCTGCTCTTGTTTGTGGCTGCACCCATTACTCTGTCCACTGCAGATTTTGGCATTTAAAGAAGGTTCACTCAAAGGTTGTCTGCTCCTAACAAAGAATGAAGGGGAAGTCAGTTCTTCTTGTCTATGGCTAGACCTATTCTGGATTGTTGTGGGGAAAAATATTATTGTATATACTTACAGATAAACCCACCTGTGGATAAGTCGATCCTTGAATTGATAGGTGTTCAGGTATGAGAAAGGGCGATAGAGTAATTATTCCATGGGGTGTGCTGGTCTATTGGAAAAGCAACCTAAATGGAGAAGTAACCCATACAAAAAACACACTCGGCTAAAAGAAAAAAGACTGCAGGTTACCTAGATTTAACATGACGTATGGCAAATACTGAGGCATTAATTCACCCGTCATTGGAAGGTGAAATGTATATTCTATTCTGATGGTGTTTTGGGTATCTCTTTCTGCAACTACTAATGTTCAGTATATATAAGTGCAAAAATCTATGACTGCAATTCCCAGTAGGGGTTTGAACTCTCTATAATAACCTCTGGCTATCTGTGACTGAAAAGTCCCAATAAGGATAAAACTGATCACATGACTTCTGGTGGGGTGCATGACTGAATTGTGTGAGCTGAAAAATATATCTTCTGCCTCTAAGATGGGTCAGGCGAGCAAGCATATTCACAAAACCTAGTTGTCTTGATGGATTGTGTATATCTTTTTATTGCCTACATTTCAAACTGCTGTGATAAAGAATTTATATGAAATCTTGCCAGTTTTTTTCATTTCCATGTATATTTATTTCATTTGTATTCTTAGCTCCCATATAAAAATGAAGTTTCTGACATTATGCATGATTACTGCTGTGCTCCATTTCCTGTAAATAAAGTTCTGATTTTTTTTCAATTTCCCTACATAGATTTAATGTTCAAGATAAAACAAATGACTGTGTTGCAATTGGATTAAATTCCACCAGCTCAAGACTTTGCTCTGAATCAAACCGCTTCATTTGTGAGGAGAAGGTATAAAAACTCTTTGGGCAATGGAAATTCACAGCAAGATCGAATCAGAACTCTATTCTCAGTTCATGAACGTTGGCCCTGATAAGAAAGTGAATATATCGTAATGCAATTAAAAATTTGGGGTGAGGATTCCTTTCCAACATATTTCAGATTACGTGGAATTCTACCCTTAGATGTAATTTCTCCTTGAATGAATATAGTATTTTTCCCCAATGCCATCATTTTGCTAAACAACTAATTCCCACAACACTTTCACTATTTAGTAAGACTGTATTAATATTATTCTTCTCATCTTTTCTATTGCTTATCTCCTTTTCTACTTATAACTTTGTTAACAGATATTTGTATTGTTTTATTTAGTTTCCTAGTATGATTTATGTTGATTCTATCACTGTGTTGTATCTTATGATTTATGATTAATGTAATTTTATGATGGCTTTGATTATGATTTATCACTTATAGCTTTTATGTACAATGAGAGCTTATGCACCTAAGTTAAATTCCTTGGGTGTCCAATCACACTTGGCCAATAAAGAATTCTATTCTATTCTATATAACCTGTATTATATTGATGCTTTAAAAATAAAGATTTTCCAGAGGAACTATGACTGTTACTTCAAATCAGCAAAGTAATTGCCAATGACTATCAGACATTGGAAAACTGAACTATTGTACTGTACTTTGCTAGAGCAAAATATGTACATATATTCATTTCAAGCTCTTTTCATGCAAAAGCATTATCCTGTCTTCTGTAGAAGATTAACAATTTAATGTTTTAAAGGTGATTTGTTTGTATGGCCTGTTAACATCTTGAGTTGTGTATGTTGTATTGCTTTATGTCAACCTGTTGGGTGCTGGTTCGTATAAAGCATCACAAAATTAGGGCTTTCCACACCAGGCCAACAGATAAAAAGAAACTATGGTTGTTTTTCCCTCATGGCAGAAATAAAGAAAGCAGTAGGATGATTATTGTGTTCATAAACTTGCATAAAACAATGGGTCCATTTCTCATATATGCCTTTGCCTTTTATGATTACACTTTACATGTTTTGAGTATACAAAAATAATGTGTTTCCTATTTGGTCTTTTAAAGGTTAACTTCCTCCTCCTAGAATATGCTGGTGCATATTAGATGAACTATTTTGATCTCCTTGTATTGGACCTGTGGAAAATGGCCTTTATGTGTCTCTATCATTTATTTCCACTAACAAAGAAAGATATGACAAAGTGAATTTCATCATTGGGAGAAACACTTGGCTGATTCAGTTTGTTAACTCAATCCATTGACCCAGTGGTAGTTCCCATACAAAGCCAGAAGAAAATTGATGTTTCCATCCCACATGGTATCACGACATTGGGGAGGTCCACAGCAGCAGGTTCTGAATTGCAGGAAAGATCCTGTATGGAAATTCTCATTGATCAATTTAGCTACATTATTAACCTGGTGACTTCCCTTCCAAAGGACAGAAATAAAGTGGAGGATTCACAAATGGAAGAAGTTAGAAGCTTTTGGAGGGGGGGGGGAACGGGACATGAATGATTTGGTCCGTTCTAACGAAAAGGATTTCTTTGTAAGACAAGAAAACAATTGAGGTGTTTTGGTTGGATAATGCAAAATAGATCTCTTTATCAGAGAAAACCATATGTAGGAAGCAATCTAACACAGATGCCTTAATCACAGTATAAGATATATTGCATCATGGGAATGGCATGCACATTATTTAGCAAACTCGAGTAAAGTTCCACTTTTTTGTTATGACACAAGGAAGCAACTAAGGTTACACAAAAACTGATGTGATATTTTACAGTGGCCTTTAAGACTAATGGGAATGAGCTTTCCCAATAGAGGCTAGTATGAGGATCTGCTGTATGTCTGTAATCAGTGTTAACAAAGCAATATTAAATTTTTAATGCCTTTGAGTATAGTTAGAATGATAGTCTGGACTACTGAAGAGTTGTTGTTGTTTTCTTCATGCGCAGCAGCTGTCTTTGAGACTAGATGCAGATAGCTACTGGATTGCCTAAAGTAGATATTCCCACATTATTTCATCTGCGTGCATTTGTAAATTAAATAAATATTATAACCCTTTCCATGTCTTCAAAACTAACATTTAGAGGAAATTACATTCTTTACAATTAGTTGAGAACTGTTTACTCCTCTGAAATGGCAATGAGTGATTTCACAGCAGAATTAGTTCCCAAATTTGATGTGGCAATGAAACCACAGTATCCATTTACCAAGAACACAATTTCCTTCCTTTTAGGACAAAACATTTTGTTTGAGTCATGTGTTTGGCTAAACACAATATAATTTTGTAAACCATGGCTTTTGACCCAGGAGACCATAATTAAAGAAGTCACAGTTTAGTATGACATGTGGCTCCTGTGACAGTCACCTTGCCGTGTTTTCAGGTACGGGAAAAATAATTTGTTCTTCGAGGGATCTTTTTAGGCAACTATATTATTATGAGCCTGATCTGGTCCCTCAAGATGTCATTCTGCTATTGCGAAAGAAAGGGGAATAAATATGTTCCTTGTATCTTTTTTCACATTACCTTCTAGATTTCTACTAGTTAGTATTTCGCCTCTTCATAATTCTCTATTCACTCAATTGCACAAAGGTTTCTGTATAGGAAAAATCCTTGATGCAAAATCCTTGAAGTTTGGGAAGTATTTCCTTTCCCTCTCCCCTTACAGTATAAAATGCCGTGATGATTTTGATTCAGTACCAAATATAGTAGCTTATAGTAAATGAACTGAGTGAGATCATGAAAAGATATAACTTTTATTAATCAATAAGGTTTGCTGTTTACTCAGTCTTCACTCCTAGGCAGCCCTGCAGAGGTTTCTTTCAATCACTTAACTATAGGTCTTCTCACAAATCCAGTTGTATTCATCATTACACGATACTGGACTCACATTTCCTGCCAAGATAGCAGCACATTCTTTATCCATTGTTGCTTTAATTGGAAAGCTGTAAACAACAGAAGAATTTTTAAAAATCTGAATTTGGTTCAACAAATCTAGCAACGTAAAACATGTGTCTAATCCAAAATAAAAAATATTGTTACAATTCAAGTTAGTTTGTTTATTTGTTTCGGGAAACAATAGTGCAAAGAGGTTATCAAGGATTTTATAACCAGATTAAGAGTTATTTAGCCCAAAAGACCAGATAAATTTAAGAAAAATAGTTAGTAGTTAACCAAGAATTTAGAAGAGACTTCAAATATTCCTTCCCAATAATACTATCATTAGAAAAACTAGGATGTTTATATGGTTACCATTCATTTTTTATTGTTTGAGAAGGAACATGGAGAGGAGGAAATAAGCTAAAATATGTATGTTTCACTAGCAAAAAATATGATATACATGAAGAAACCAATATTGGAGATTAACTTTTATAAAGTGCAGATTTAAAATGGCAAAAAACCTGAATAAAAATCTAACTTTAATGAAAGATCATTTTTGTGGTATCATTTTTTTGCTTTTTTTTCATCATTTTTAATTTTTTCTTTTGTTCTGGCTTATTGAAGGCAAACGAATAAATAAAGGTCTGCTTATAAATTAAATTGGGAATTAATCCTAATGAATTAAAATATTCTACCCAGAATGCAGAACTATCTTCTTCGGTCTGTTGGAGCTAAGACAAACTGAATTCTTGAGCTCTTCTTGTTAGAACTTTAACTCATCTGAAACCAAAGATTCATTCTGGGCCAATAATGTTAATTAAAAGCCATCCACTCTCAACTCCATGTGGTCAGCTGCACCAGAATCACAAACATGTGCTTCTTTCCAATCAGCCTCCATTTTGTTTCCAGTGCCTTTCTCCCATTTGGAACTGAACCAGATGGATATTTCTTCCAACATAATGAAAATGATTTTTTCTCCTCTCCACAAATAAAATAAAACAAAGAGAGAAGTAGAGACTCCACAAGTTGCCTCTGGGCAAATAGAAGTTGCTTAGCTGTTGAAGAATTGAATCAGAGCCCCCTCACCACACACCACTTCGTTTATACGTCAGCATTCATTTAATTATCCTCTTCCTCAACTTTATAAATGTGTTCAAAGTTCCAGAATTACCAGAATAAACTCTCATCTAAAACTGATGCTGATAATTGGCTACAGATAAATCATTTTTAAATATGTAGGATCAATGCATTAAAATGCATAAAATAGAAAAAAACCATAGAGCTTAATAAGTATTATCTTTTAATAAAAGTCCTGTAGAAAGTGAACAACTGCTGCAGCAGTATGTCATTCGCATTTTGTGTACACAATTCTATGCCAGTGCTCGTTCAGAATTGTGAATAAACATAAGTATAGTTCCAAATTCTCAGTAATAGTGTGCAAAGTAAGTGTAGACCTTTAAAAATAGTAGCGTTTTACAGAATGTGTTGGGGACTAGAGGTATGGAAAGTGTTGGATTCGATGAGCTATAGATGATCCATGTTATTATTTAAGAAAGGAAAAAAAATAAACATTTAAACCTTTGAGAAAATGCATTTATAATTAGCTAGATGCAATATTTTCATGTAGATTTTAAAAGGAAGTTGCACATCTATGAAGGGAAACAGAACATGTAAAATTATTATATATGGGAAAAATAAATCCCTCTCTAAAACAGAGATGTGGTAAAAAAAATGAAACATACAGGATCATGTTGTGGTCTTTGTGATCAATCCACTTCCATTTTTTTATTGGTTCTGAATATGTGAGTCCAATGAAGTAATTAGCCATTGCTGTTTTGTTAATAATAAATTCCTGGTGAGAAAAACAAAATAAAAATGGGAAATCAAAGGTTCTTATCAGGGGGCATGAAAATCACAAGCAGCCTGAAGTAGACTCAAATGTAAATTCCCTACGTTTTTCATCCTGATGTAGGATATAATTTGAGTAAATTACCAGATTCAAATGATAGAAGATGCATCTGCCAAAGTCCCATAATTATTGTATAAAGCTACAAGAATCTTGTTCATGTTCATCTCCAGCTTCTCAAGTACCATATGAAAGAACCTGTTCTGTATACTGTTTACTAAGGGTGGTAACTGGGGAACAAACATAAATCATGCTTAAAAATTCATGCTGTTTTCAATGTGGTAGACATGTGTATCCAGCTGCTAAATCACATGCAGCTTTCTTAGTGCAGATGGCTTTTGCTTTAAGATTGTGGAGACTCAGATGATTCCACAGACTTGTTCCGCAGCAGCCACACAAATGGTAATGAGACATTGGAATGGCAAATCCAAGAAGCCTTGTTCTCTACTGGTGATGATGCATTTGTTGGCTGTACCCAACATAGAGAGAAAAAGAGGGAGAGAGACAGAGAGACAGAGACAGAGAGAGAAGGACAGAGAAAGAAAGAGAGAGACAGAGAGACAGAGACAGAGGGACAGAGATATGTAAACAGAAAAAAACATGTCATTTCCAGAAACACTGTGATTTGAGTCACTCAATAAAGGCAAATATTGATTGGAAGCAAATATAGAGTACTGCACCCCTATTCCAAAATAGTTCTGAAGTTTCACATATTGCCTTCTTCAGTTTGGACCCCCAAAACAAGTTTTGCTTTGGAAAAGAAAAAGAAGAGGATTGGATCAATCTCCCAAGCAGACTGCTTTGTTTTGATCTTCAGATTCACTTCAGGATGATTTTGAAGATGAACCCTTTGATATGGGAAACTGAAATATTGCTGATGTTACTTATGCTAATCAATTTGCAAACTTTTCTCCTTTCAGAGTTCACTGCAAATAGAAGAATGTCTGGGTCCCTTCCAGATTATGAGGACACTTTAAAAGTAATTTAAACATACCAGCTATATTTACAGATGGTAAGAGGTTCTTGCTTAGCACAGAAAGTTATAATTCATAGTTGTTTCTCTTGGATCTAAAATACTATGCTCATACTTCGTCCTCCTCTATTTTTAAGTGCACCTTGAGTGGTTAACATTGTGTGACATTCACTCTCCAATTTAACAGTACCCATCAAACATAAAACAGTACCCTTTAAAACTAGAGTTTCCTTACAAGTGAAAACTATGTCTACTGGAGAACCCAGTGACATATATCATGCATTCCTCAGGATACACTTGCTCTCATTCCCCTCATCCATAGCCCTCACGGCAAAGTTTATATTTCTTTCAAGCCCTTGCTAACTCTTTTTTTGACTCATGGTTAAATCTATCCAAAATGTAAGGTAAGGTCTGCTTCACACCTGCTTCTGTATGTCATACTCCATCCTACAATCCATATTTCAACTATGATAAATGACCTTCCTCCGGAATCCCAAAGTTAAATCAATTTTGTCAGAGAATAGTGATTGCCTCACTCATTCACTGGATGGTCTAAAGATCCTGACATGATTCTTTTCCCAGGTTAAAGGGGCATAAGAGCATAAACCTTTCAAGGATGAAGTTGGTTTCCTCCCAGGTGACCATAAACTTACCAGTTCTTTTGTGTCATCAATGATCAAAAGCTTTGATGTCCAGTCTTCACACTCAAGTTGGCTGATCTGCCACGTATTTTTCTCTTCAGAAAACAAGTAATCATGCCCTCTGAATCGTTCCCACCTTGGTTGCTTCAAAGGAGTTCTGACTATAACAAAAGATCCAAGGAATAAATAATTTTGAAAGTGATAATAATAGTTCACCTTCAGGAGTTCCAGAAAGATAAAGCATATAAAGTCTAAGTAGAGTAATCTTCGTCCCATCCAAATTTTATCATTGGAATTTGACTGTTATTTCCTGGTACCAATACAAGCATCTTTGTCTTATTTACAAGGCACATTACTATTTCTTGAGAAGGTCTTTTTTATAGCGACTGTGAGTCTGTTTTTCTGTTGCATATTGGAGGAAGATGCTGATCTAATTGCTGAATTCCCAATCTGGCTCTCCATTGTTCAGTAGCTTCCCTGCTACTTCCTGCTTCTTGATCTGATTCTTCCTTTCTTCCAGCATGACATTCAGTCAAGGCAAAAAGAGACAAGAACTGCACCCATTGTCCTTCCTTTCAATTAAAATATGTATCCCGCAGGGCAAAAGGTTGCTTTAACTTCAGGTAGAGTTAATGTAGGTGCCAAAATCCACATTAAAGCAAAGAAAGTTTTCTGCATATATTTTCTTGTTAACCAGTGTCCATCCAAATTTTTGTAGCACAAGAGGCTTATTCAGGTCCCCACTGTTGACTGAAATATCTGGAACCCAGAATACCAAAGTGTTCAGATTTAGTTTCTGCTGAAATGTCACTAGCCCAAAACAGGTCAATAGAATTTCCAAAATTCAATGTTTTTGTACAGGTTTGTCACACTGTGGCTTGAGTGCAGTTGGCTTAGTATGAATTCAGACACCTGTATTTTGGGACATAATCTCGGAGCCAAAGTTGCAATTAAAAATATTTAACACAGCCATAACTGTACTGTAACTAAAACAGCATTTCCTTTTCTTTAGTTTATTGTAATATTGTAAGGAACACTACAAAACCTTGAGTATGCATTAATGAATATCAGCAATGAATTTGTTTTCAGAACAATTACCTGTTCACTGTTTTCCTGATTAGAGGGTCCTATTCCTTGCCAGAAATTCCATGGGAATCAAAGTTACAGGTAATTTTGTAAAATTTTTGTATACTTGAAAACAAAACATCATGACTTATGTAGTTTAACGATCTGCTCAAGGTCTGTTTTCTTGTAAGGTAAAAGTGTTACAGAGATAGGAATGTTTGCATAAAGAGATGGGAACTGCACAACCCTGATCTGAAAGCTTCTAAACTTTGCTTCCTCAGATGTTTTACCAGGTTTCCTCTGTAGACAACTCCTACCTATATGATATAAATAATGCAAGACGTTCTACTACATATCTTGGAGAAATAATCTTTCCTCTTAGATATGGGCTACCATATTTCTATGAGGCAGCTCTTTAGAAATGCTAATCATGAAGCTAAACTTAAAGATTTTGGAGGTATAATGTAGAAAAAAAGTAGAAGACAATTGTTGTAAGAAGACAAGGTGGATCAACCCTATCATTGTTGACACAAACCAGAGAATACAAGAACTTAGCAGACCAGTAGCTGGCAGAAAATCTTGGACATAATGACTGGGAAATGAATGAGTAACTGAATAATCATTCATATAAATTATCACTATAAAGCAAGCTCCCCCCCCCCTCTCTTCTCCCTCCCTCCCTCTCTCTCTCTCTCTCTCTTTCTCTCTCTCCCTCTCTCTCTCTCTTGCTTTTCAAAAGGCAACTGGACTTTATTGGGGTTTTTCCCTTAAAAACATTTTGCTTCTCACTTCTTCAGAACTGAAGAAGCTTCTTGTATGAGAAGCTAAGCGCTTTCAAGAAAAAAACTCCAAGGAAGTCCAGTTGCCTTTTGAAAAGCAACATTGGGACCACCATGACTTGGATGATTAAGAAACTCCAAAGACATATCTGAGTCAGTGTGAAAAACACCACTGAAAAACATTAAGTAGTAATAAAATGTAGCTAATATTAAGTCTCATGTATTTATTGCTGAGTGGGAACTTTTTGTCCTGGGACACAGATATTAAAATTTAATAAAAATTTGAGGGGAAAACAACTGATTTGGGATTTTTAATATCTCACACAAGATGATTTCAGTTAATTGTCTTCTCCCCTCTGTTATAAAAGAAACTTCTCAATTTATTTTGTCAAACCTGGTAGACAATCACAAACATGACCTATTTTCCTCTACCTTGATATTCAAAGTTTCACTAGCAGAGTTACTACTTTCCCCACTCTCTTTCCAATCATACCCAACCGACTATCAGATATGGAGAGGAAAAAAATAATTTAACTTTCTACCTGTAGCAGGATACAAAGGAGAGAAGGAAGAGGTCTGTTCAGGAGAAGGGGGCCACACTAGGAAACAAAAAAATGGCATCCATCATTTACATCCTAAATGTAAATTGAATTCACATCATCAATACTCAGCAGTACCCAAAATTTTAAAAAAGCAATCCTAAGTCCTATATGCATCCTTCCTCAGCAAAACTAGTCTTCTTTTGACACTAAAAGAAAACAACTGCAACAAACAGGTAAATGCAACAAGTTCAAGCAGACTTTTGCAAGAAAATAAACCATGGACTATAGCAACAGTATACAAGGCCATGAAGAGAAAGCACACACACCTGGCTTCAGCAAGTCAATCAATAAAGAGATTTTGACATATTTATTTTTTAATTTCTTTTGTATTATCATTATGATACCAAGGGGGAGGGAGCAAAAGAAAAGGAGTGGGGGAGAAACAATGTAAGCAACATAATATAGGCAGCTGACTCTCAGATCTCAACTAACTGACAAATCTAAACTATTATAATCGTTAATATACTGTAATACATCATTAATCACTTACAGTATTCGAAGACATTTCATATCCAATTTCTAGTCAAAGCATACTTTGTTGAATGATAAAATTATTTGATTGGCACAATTGAAATCAGTAAGAGAAACAGAAAACCTGCATATGATACATTAAAATAATATAATAACATGTAGGTTGTATATTAAATTACACACATTGGAACCCAAATTTGGAATGTGGCATGACTGCATGCATAGAATTGAAATCCAGAGATAGTTTTCAAATAAGATTGAAGTGTATATCAAATCTATTTTTAGTTACGAAGAGATTCTTGGCATTGAAACATATACTCACAATTTAACTAATTATTCTTCCAAAGAGGGGATCAGAGATCTTTTCCAATAAAAAGCATATAAACTTGCAACTGTTATCATATATAATTCAGTATATTTTGAAGGAACATATGGTTTCATAAAGTTTAATTTAAAAATACCTTAGTTTGAAATTTTAGAATTTATTCCATTCTGCAATGAATTAATTTCCAGTATTGTTGAGGTTTGCAGCATTATCACCTCATATGTATCCAAATTGTTTGTTGCATTTCTAGCATTTTGAGAGGGGTTTTTTTTAATCACACTGAAGTTTCCATGAAATCAGTAGAAAGAATGATGTCATCATCACAAACTCCAAAAGCCCACCAATCAGGTAATTTAATTTTCAAATTCCCAGGCAAAAGCTTTTCCTCAACCAGAATCCTGTGCCAGAATTGAGTTTTGTGGCTCTCTATTAGGTGTTGTCTCTAGGCAGCCAAACTAGTCTTCCTGGCTTTATAAGACCAATTATTCCCCTCTATATGCCGTAGATCAGTGTTTTTCAACCACTGTGCCGCGGCACACTAGTGTGCCGTGACATAGTGTAAGGTGTGCCGTGGGAAAAACACCTGCCTATAGTCAATATAGGCACAGAGTTAAAAAAATTTAACATTTTCTAATGGTGGGGTGCCTCGTGATTTTTTTCATGAAAAAAGTGTGCCTTTGCACAAAAAAGGTTGAAAAACACTGCCGCAGATGCAGTTTATGAACAATACAGCAGAAGACTATCTATGGCACTTAATGGGTTGCACTTTATATTTAGGCCCACTCCCTGTGATCATGGAGTCACAGCTGAGGTTTTTAATACAGCCCCATGCTCTCTATAAAGAGTTCATCTGCTATGTAAAATCACATCTAGCATCTTAGCATGAAGCAGGATCTACATGTTCCTCAGCCTGCATCATAGGAAGAGATGAGACTTTTCATAACAGGCATGTCTCATTTCTCAGCCAATCCCCTTAGTGCACAGTAAGGCAAAGTAATAAGCACACTCTGCTCCTCAATTGCATCAAATGAGTGGGATGGAGGTAAGGGTCAGGACCTGCTGCTTGTAGAATCTTGACACTTCCACCATGCATTAAGTGATACAAGGAGGGCATCATCCATCTCTTGGTTGAAGATGATGTGTGAGAGCATCTGGAAGTCAGGGGCAATCAAATGGAAAGAGTTGCTGGAATTCATGCTGTATCATTCATCTAAAGCCATCAACTGAAGAACAGGACATGTCAAACATCTTTTGAACCAACTTATCACTCATTGACTCACAACTATTTCCACTACAGCATAAGCAGCTGAGAATAACTTTGCCTCTTGTTACCAATACAGATTGCCTAGTGCTGGAAAATGTTGGAGACATCTGGACGACATTTACTTAATTCTACTTAATCTCCTTCAATTCAATGGGAAAATTCTTTTATGTTGAAAACTCCTCTTCTTTGATGGAGAAAAGGGAGTTTCAACATTCAAGAATTTTCCCCACTGAATGCCACATAATATGAATTTTTTTTTTCTCAATAGAAATCAAAGTACATTTAGCCCTCATCCAGTTATTTTCTGGTCTCAGAAATCTCTGGATTTTTATGTAGAGTTACCTGAAGAATTTTCTGTAGAGATAGAAGTGATGTTCCCCTTGGGAAAGATCTGTGGAACTGAAAAGAAGAATATTTTTAAATAACAACTGATAAAAATTACTCAATACTTTTGCTAAAATAAAATAGGAAGCAAAAGAAATCATTTTGTCAACGTTATTCATTGTCAGCTAAGGGAACTGAACCAGAATCAACCCTTAGTTTAAATCTCAACTTTGCCCTAAAAAAAATTCTGTCTCTCCATATCAGTCTATCTGTTAATCTGCCTCTTGTTTTCAATGGGATAATAAAGTATACTATAAAAATTCCACCCTGTGGAATGATAGTCACATATAAAATACTTCTTTGAAAAACCAAAAACAATAACAGCTGGAAACAAAAGGGTTATTAAAAGGGCATAGTAAAACATGGAAACTCAAAGCATTTCAATAATAATTTAATTAATCTTATATGCTACCCAACCCTCGTGACAATCAAAGATACTACAATAAAAGCAATAAAGCATAAAAAAATAAAGATAACAGAAGAGATAATCTATGTACTATACATTATGGCTTTACTTTTCATTTATACCAGCACACACATACGCACATACCCCCCCCCCACAAACATACACACTGTAGTGTGTGTGTGTGTATCCATATTTCAAAACCCCAAAGCCCTTACAGTATATATACAAGATAGGAAAAAATGAGAAAAAAGAAAAAAGACGACATGATTATATATATTTTAAAAAGACTTAAAATTTGCCCAATACTCACAAAAAACAAAAAATAGAGATGTCCCTGTGAGTTTGACTAGTAAAAGGATGACTCCAGGAGCTACTTGCTGCCAATTCATTCTGGTTAATCTGAAAGAGTTCAGTAGCAATTCAATGAATCCCCATTAGCAGGATAACTTTCTAGAGTTATAATTTATCAATCAATAGACATGACAAATTGAATGGCAAATAAATAAAATTTTATTTATTTAATCCCCATTTTTTGTATGTTGTTTTAGAGTAGATGGTTTTATTACTGGCTGCTTTATTAAAGGTTTATTTTATTCTTTTTGTATACCTCTCAAAGTGTCATTGTGAGATCATGCAAGAAAAAGAGAGATTAATTCATTACTTCCTCTGAAATAGGCTTTGCCAATGTTGAAGTCCCCACATATGTAAAATCCAACACATCCAGACAATCCTTGATTCAGAAAGTCTCGATTCATAAATGGATTAGAGACCACAATATTAAAGAGACAGCAACTATTTTATAATGTATGGGCAATCTATGATATATAAAAAAACCAGAATTGCAGAGCTAATTAATCACATCATATTGTTATTCTGGTTTGAGATTAATGGAATGTCTGTTTTATTGCTTTGTGTGTGGCAAATTCTAGTTAAAATGGCACTGATTTAATGTATTATATAGACCCAAACATGTTGAATATCAGCATTTGAGCATCTTCTTTCCTGCTTAGCCAGAAAAGAAGTATAAAAGCAAGTGGAAGAAAGCTTCTATTAACAAGTTCTTCTCAGGGAAAGATATAATCTAGTTTATTTTTATTTTAAAATTACTATAAAAGGAAAACGTATTCTTGATCAAACTCCGCTCTTTGAGGATGTCTGCATCTATGTAGTTTTCTCGGCAACAGAGTGGAAATGTTGTGACATTGTCTCTTTCTGGTATGTCACTGCCTTCCTAATGTAGGAGTCCACAATAATCACCAATCTTATGCAATATCTTTATTAGAAGAGCCTATCCTGTGCCAAAAAAATAAATAAATAATGTTTACAGGGCTAGCAAATTGCCCACTTTGGGGTGGGATTTCTAATCCCCAACCAATTAACTTCCACACACCACTCTAGGCTGACCATGAACAAGTGAGAGTGCATTTTATGTGGAAAGATAAAAACTCCATTCACTTCTGAGACCCAAAACAAATTCCTCAGGCTCAAATCTTTCAACAGTGTGTATGTAATTGTATTATTTACTACATCTGTATTTTGGAGAGAGTCCTAAATAAATAAATAAAAAGTAGTTCTTTATTTCTAACATTCTAGTCCAAGGCTTGAGCTATAGGGGAAGCATCAAGCATTTCAGAGTTGAAATTTAGCCTCAAACCAAAACAGATGTTTGAAATAAGTTTAACCCTTATCTTGAAGCACTTTCAGATCATGTAATATTACTGGCTTTCTAAATTAGCAGTCTGTTATTTGATGGAATGAATAAACACACTTGAATTTTAGAAAAGAAAAAAAAAACAGAAGAAATGGAAATTTTACTTATCAGAAGGATTCTGCAGAGATGAGAAAGTGCTCCAATATAATTCTTCAGCAGACGATAAGTGACTGTCTGAACATTTTTCATCCCCTTTGGATTTATGCACTCTCACTCTTGCTAAGCAGCTGTTAAACCATAAGAAATTATGACACTTCTCCTTTTGTGTCAAGATGTTGGTGATAGACCATGCACACCACTGTCTCTATTATGAGATACTTCCTTTTTCTTAAGCCTTCCTCCCGAGCAGTAATTTGGGTTAGGCTTGGATATTGATGGCTTGGATATTTTTGGAGTAGAGCTATGAAAACACTTTATGTTTATTAGACATTCTCCAACCTACACTTCCCAAATTTGTTGTCAGACCCCACAACTGTAGCCTTAGAGAGCACTAAGTTGTAGAAATGCTGAGCATAAAATATCTGGAAACTACAATATGTTTTAGGTTAAGACCTGCACTAATCCTTTCAATGGTATTCCAGTGGCTATGCACAAAAGCTAAAACTAAAAATAAATTTGGGATTACATTACATTTTATTCATTAAATTGAAATGAAATCAGAATTAGAGTTCATACAATTTCCATGTAGTCATAAATTACAATTTATCAGCAGTTGTTGGAGAAGTTCTGGAGGACACACCCTAGACTTTTGGGGGTATTGTGTAGCTCCTAAAACTGGGATTAATTGCCCTTGGCTAATCCTGTAATTTTGGAAATAACTCTCAGTGGACTCAGTGAAGCTTACTTTCTGGGTAAAAGTATCCTATAAGAAAAACTAATTCATATATAACAGGAGTGGCAAATCTGAGTACAGGCTTCTAGGTGTTGTAGGACATCTGAAAAGCTGTAATTTTTTTAAAATCCAGTTTTAGTCCAAAACTGGATAATTTAAATATCTCCCTGTTGCCCTTTTACAGTTTCCTCATCTCCCACTACCTGAGTAAGATGTAATCCTGCGCAGTTCCTGCGCATGTGCGGGTTTGGAATGGCGACCGGGTTTTTTCGCTCTACACAAACTTAGCGAAAAAGCACCGGGAAGCCTCCAAACGGACCGCAAAAATTTTTGGAAACAGCCCCTGGGAGAGCCCAAGAGCTGCGGAACCTAAAGGACCTGAAGAAATCCGGAGGCTTATATTCTCTCCACAGCGGCAGCCCGGGTTATCCAGCTGTGTGAGGGCGGCGGCGGCGGCGGC